TCTTATTTTAGATGGAGTTAGCCAGAAAATTCTTTAAAGACGGAAGGCCTTTCGATTTGGAAGGTTGGTAGTTTTCTCTTTTTATGAGCTCTGACAATCTAGTGCCTGCCATGTTAGAGCAGAGAGCATGTTCTGGGTTTTGCCTGAAAATTGTTTTGAACTTTAGAACAAGAAATCATATGAAATGTATTTTTTTTATAACCGAGTTTTGCTTCAGTAACAATGCAACTTATATTTGTTATTTTCTTTTCTTACATGTTGGTAACTGCATTATTTGTTTAGATTCTTTTTCAAAACAAGTGTTGGTTACATACGTGAGCCAAGCAAATATGAATAATTGATAATAAATTGTTAATTAACATTTTATCCAACTAAAATCTAAGTCTTATTCAATAGCAATTTTTGTACTGGTTAGTGGTCTGTACCTTATCATTTTGTTTGTAATTTTCTTTATGTCATGAATCACTTTAGCCTGTCTTTCTTATCCTTTCCACCAATTACTCAAATTACAAAGTGAAACACTGTATTTTATTGTAATATTTTGAGAATCAATTGCAGATATACTGATTTATCTTTATTTCTGAATGACTATTCCTTGGATATGCTGATATGCTCTATGTTCTCTTTCTTTTATGGATCTATCCCTCCTTATTTGTAAAATACTAATTTTAACTAAAAATCTCTGCAGGACTTAAAAATTGTATGAGAAGAGGATATTATTACATAGAAGGTGTTGAAGAATTGCTTTTTGATTTAAAACAAAACAACTATGAGATGCATGCTTTCACTAATTATCCTATCTGGTAAGGTGAACTTGGTTTTTACTTTTGGAGGGTCTTTTGACCAACCTAAGCACAGAAAAAAGAAATTTATGCACGAACTTCTTTCTTTTAACAAATATGGTAATACATAATAGCCGTTGCTTAAAATTTCTGTTCACACTGAAGTTAGTGGAAAGAGTGAGTATCCCACACATGCTGTATATATTCTGCAGAGAGTGCCCATCTAATTGGTTTAAAGACTTTTTATGAATGTAAAACATTTCCTCTATGTATAGCATAAATACCTTTCATATCCATTAGCAAATCCTCATTCCATACAAAGAATAAGCAATTTCTTCTTTGTCCTCTAAATCAGCTCTGCATCCTGCAAGATGTATCAATTTTTATTTTTATTGTTTTTATATGTCTATAAGGTACATGAGAGCTAAAACCTCCCAAATTGGAAGTGATGAAAACATTTTATCAAAATGGTGGCCAGTGAGATGGAGGAATCTCCAGCTCGCTAGTGCACACAACCTGCTTCACCAAACCGACTAGTTGCCTTTAAATTTATAGAGTACACGATACACTTAAAGACACTTATGTTTGTTTATTATAGTTGAAACTATATTTAGTATTGTTGAGTTTTAATTTCTCTCGATGGTAATCTGAAAGCAAATTCAAATCCAAAGCGTCAGTTTCATCAGTAAAACTATCAGCTCCAAAATTTCAATGTTGCATCTTCAGTTTTTTCAAAGGCAGTTCCTTTGACAGTGGATGGCTCATCATTTTCTTGAAAATGTGTTTTGTAGGTACAGAATAATTGAGGACAAATTAAAAATCTCAACTTACTTATCATGGACATTTTGTTCCTGTGCCATAGGTATGTTCACTAGTTTGAAGTTGCTTGATACTATGAACTCGCTTTCTTACCCCAAACATATTAAATTGGATGTATATGTGTGTGTTTCAGTATGTGCTGGTGACACCAAAATTTAGTCTGTTTTCTTTGGTCAGAATATTATCCTTGCCTTGCCTTCTTTTTATAGATTTTCAAGTATTCATGTATAGATTGACATTTGTTCTATTAGGAATAAATTTAATCTACCTAGTATTTTGTAATATATATTGGAAATAAGATCATAACTTCAAGATATGAATCAGCTATCAGTATCTATGTTTTTTTTTTCTCCGTCATTTGAGTATAAGGAGGCTTGAGGGAAATCTGTTCAGTTTAATACATGTGTAGTATACTTATCTTTTTGCTAGTACTGGTTTTCGTAGATTTTAGCTTTTCCACATAAATATTATTGTGATCATAAAAGCAATGTTGTGTTACAGCTTGTGAGAATGAATTTAGGCTTGAGAGTTGTTGTGATCCATAATTTGCAGGGCAGTTAAGCCATGTAAGTTCAACCACAGTCATTCACTGTTTGGGATAAATTATTATGTCATATACCTGAGCGCGTATGGCATGTTTTGGTGAAAGGAGCTTGTTCTGAGCTATCAAACCATGACTGAAGATGTTAAAGGTTTCTGTCTCAAATTATACTACAATAGTTCAGCGAGCCATCCAGCACTTCCAAACTAGAGGGTAGCCAGTGATTTTTTGTTGATCTCTTATTTCGAGATTAGATCAGTGGTGCAAAGTATCCTGTATTATCAGCATGATTTTCTGCTATTTTAGCTAACAAGTTAATGTTCTTTTTGAATGCCATCTGACTGTTTTAGAGAGTCTTCTACTGCAAAACAACGATTGTTCCTGTATCTGTTGTGGACATTAGCACAGCCTGGTCCATCTGGACAGTGATACGTTTTTCGCCTTCTTTCAGGAAAGAGGAAACCTGATCCTGATTTTTACTTGGAAGTCGTGAGACATCTGAAGGTTGATTCAGGAGATTGTATTTTCATTGATGACAGGTATCCTTCTAATTTCTATATATATTAAACTATTACTCTTATAGAATCTTGATTTCTTGTATGAATCGATTTACATGTCTTCTATTCTCGTTGCCACTAGATGTAGTCTGCCAAAAGTATGGGCCAAAATTGCTACTTCTTGACATGTTAGTTGGATTTGGATCATTTCAAAACTTCAGTTTTTGTAAAGTATCTGTCAAAATGATCTGCACAATTCATCTTTATTGCTAGTAATCTGACTTTTAGAAGACATCAATGTTACTATTTTCTGTATTTAATAGGTATCTCTTGAAAGTTGACTAGCATTGCCTACTGAATCGGCTTAACATGTTTTCATAGAAAGAGATTGGGTTTGTTTTAATGTCGTACATTTTGAGCTTCACTTTGCTCGCTAATTTATTGCCTTGGACTGACACCAGGTTAAAGAACGTGGAGGCTGCAACTGAAGTTGGCATAGTCGGTCTGCAGTTCAAGGGTGCCGATTTTCTGCGTCGTGATCTCTCCCAAATGGGAATCAACGTTTCAACAAACAAATTCCCCAGAAGTGAGAACCAATCCCAGATCACCAAAGAACAGAGACCGTAATTCTTGTGGATGGTTTTATCCTATGACTTTATGCCCTCCTTTTCATAATTGTTTCCTCTTTTTTTCTCAAATCGTAGTAAAATGCTATAAATTCATGAGTACTACAAACATTTTCTTTTCTTTTGGCCATATCTTCGAAAGATAAATGCCTTCAATTCATCTAAATTGTATGCATTCTATTAACTTCTTGATCAAATATCAATCCTTGCCGAAATTCTCCCAGCTTTTCATCAGCTTCTCCAACTTACATGAATTTGTTGAACTTTTCACGTAAAGTTTCTTGTGATTGTACACGAGGTCTTTAATCGAATCATCGTCAAACTGTGTATTTCAGTTCCGTTGTGTAGGATCTGAAAACAAACAAAACAGCACTATCCATGGAAAGAAATCCAGGAAACAGTTTCTGAAACTTGAAGAACTCTATAGTTTTCCCTTGTTCGTGTATTTTGCAGAATTTGGCAGGCTGAAGAGAACTGTTTAATCCGCGACGTTTTTGTTGCCGTTACAAGATTGGTAACGTTACTGGAACATGAAACTTATAATCACATAACTTTCAGTACTAAAATAAAGTGTTACAACTCATTTCATTGTAAATTATCATTTAATATAACAAGTTTGACGTTTTACGATTAAATACTTGAATAATATGTTACAGGTGTACGGTTTTATCAGTTGTATGTGTAAAAACATCTTTCCATCCGTTAAACCATTGTTTTAAAACCTGACTTATTATAAGATTGGTAAGGTGATTGAGTCTTAGGTCGATCACTGATCAGCATCAGAAGTATTTTTTAAAAACTGTAAATTAGTCCCTTAAATTTTAATTTATTTTTAAAATGCGCAAAATAATTAATTAGAATCTAAATTTTTGAAATATTGTAAAAACACTCCTAAATAATTTCAATCAGTCCCTATAAATTTCAAATATAACAAAAACCTCTTGTAACCTGAACTAGATCGGAGAGGTTACCCAATCCCGGTTTGACTAGCCGGTTCGTTTCAGGTTTTAAAACAGAGCATTAAACTCGTCTATCATTTTGTGTAGTACAATTTAACAAGTTATCCAACATTGTCTAACATATTAGATGATAGTATCTAGCGTATGACAATGTTTAACTAAATATTTGATATTAAATTTGTTTTTTTTTAATCAAAGTGTTTGAACTAGGTTATATGCATCTCGACTAATTTTTTAGAAAGATTACCACAACAATCCACTGACCCCCAATTTAAACTTAATTCAGGAATGTTCAAATAGAGAATTAAACTTGAAACTGTGCGTCTGTCTACCCTATCTCCAATTCGTTCTAACCATTTGAATTATCCATGGATTTGTTATAAATTACTATTTTCACTAAACCAGAACCAAATCAAACCAAATGTTTTTATTTAAAAAAAAAAAAAAAAAACTTGAACAACACGTGTGTATTAGAAATTCAGACCAAATTGAATAAGTTTAAATCTGTTATATTAGTTAATTTAAGGTCGCATATAATTAAAATTCTTTAATAAGAATAAATAATTTTTTTATTATAAATTTTGATAGTATTTCGGATTTTATTGAATTAAATTGCTAATTCAAACCAACTTTGAATTTTTACATAGAAAAATAATTATACAAATTAGTGAAATAATAAAATAAATATTTAAAAACATAAAGAAAATAGTGATTATGAGTATTTGAATATATAAAGATAAAGAATATACCTTGTAATAAAAAAAAAGCAATAAAAATGTAATTACAGGAACAAATACATATCATGTTCTTGCGGTTGTTTGTTGATCTACCTCTCTTTTTATCTCTCTTCTTCAACAATTCATGCTCCTTGCTTTAACTGTTCCTCCTACTTTTCCATTAAAATGAGCATGACTCAGTTCGCCATGGTAACTTTTCATCTTCTTTTTTCTCAATTTTGGTTACTGTTTTAACGTTCTCTGCCTTCAATTTATGTCTCTTTCAATTTATATACAAACCTAGTGGATGATTTCTACGTTTGATTTTGACTGATGGGGTTTTTGAAAGTTGAAGTTTTTATTACAATTTGGTTTTTTAATTATTAATATAAAGTTGTTCCTTGTGAATTTAGTTAGAAACATAATTGATGATATGCCAACTGGGTATTTGGTATGATGGGGTTTGTTGAAATTGAATTTATCTTATAAAGTTGAGCTTTTAATTCTTAACATGAAAGTTGTTCCTAGTTACAGTTTGGAATAGCTGTTGTTTTAGGGCATATATCATGTCTATCAATTCATATACAGACATAAATGATGATATGTCAACTGAGTATTTTTGGTTTCTGTTGTTGATTTTGTGTGCCAGGGTTGTTGAAGTTGAATTTATTATCATTATAAAGTTCAGTTTTTCAATTCTTAGCTATTATTTTAAGGAAAATATTATGTTTATATCAATTCTAATGAAGATATAATGGATGATCAACGGGGTGTTTTAGTTTTTTAGTTTCTGTTGTTGAATTTGTATGGTGGGTTGTTGAATTTGAATTTGTAATAGTAAAGTTCAGTTTTTTAATTTATAACTTAAAGTTGTTACAGTTTAGTGCAGCAATTGTTTTAGGGCAAATATCATGTCTTTGTCAAGTCTTATACAAATAATAGTTGATGGTACTATGCCAACTGGGTATTTTTAGTTTCTACTGTTGAATTTTTATGGTGGGCTGCTGAAGTTGAATTTATCATTATAAAGTTAAGTTTTTTAATTCTTAGTATAAAGTTGATTTTAGTTTAGTTATTGTTTTAGGTAAAACTTTAATGGATTAAGTGTTTGTTAGGAAAACCCACTGGGATTGTTTCATTAATGGTGTTATTACTAATGATTAGGAAGTGTTTGATGGAGCATTTATGATTGGTTAAATCTTTTCTTCTTTTTTTAATATTAGGAAAGTGGGACTAGGGTTTTTGGTGTTCTGTTTTAGTAATTCAGTTTTAAGAAATGGCTGGAATTTTTGATGAAATTCCAAACGATTAGTTTTTTTTTTTATTAGTGTATTAGGCCAACGTTAATGGAGTAAATGGTGTTTTTCATGTTCTTTTGATTTGCCAAACTTTTGGTACTGATGCTAGGACTAGGGTTTTGCATGTTTTCTTTGATCAAATTTCAAACTAAATGGTTTTATTTGTTTTGTTTTCTTTTGTGTGTGTTTTATTTAAGTCAAATGTGAGAGGGGCCCATGATCTTTTCTACTCCATACATATTGATGATGAACTTGCAGGTGGAGGAGTTGGCTTTCCTTGTGAAGGACAATCTTCCATGTAAGCATCTTGTACTTTCGATGGAGGAGGCCTTGGTCAACTTCCTTCAGGATGATAACAGGTAAAAAAAATGTGTTATATGAAGCTATTTTTCTTAAGGCTGTTAGCTTATGTAAATACTTTTCTAATAATATGTTTTGATTGCAGCACTGATGGGGTCCTTGAGTTGGAACCAATGAACTCCTACAGTCGTCTTCTCTTGCATAGATTGGCAGATATATTTGGGTAGTTCTTTTATTCCTTTTTTGCCCCTTCCCATGCTTCATACCCTTAAATCCCCTAACCTTCCTTATGAGTTCACTGGGTTCGAATCTGAAGACTAGTATCAGATTTTACACCCTTGGGGGTTTTTTAAACTTGTGAGAAATTATATCCCAAGTGGATAGCCTCATGGGAATATGGGCCCTCAGAGGACTACTGCAGGGCATTCCTTTAAATGCCTATTTGTTGCTAAATTGATCTCATTCTTTCATATATGCATTATGTTCTAAATTGAGCATTCATTTGATTACAGGATTACTTATTTTTTTTAAGCCTTTCATTGATATCATGAACTTTTTCTGATTATGTAGATTTGCCCATGAATCTGTTGGTGAAGGAGATGATCGACACTTGATTTTAGAGCGATGCCCTGAGACTTCAATGTATGTGAAGAAACATGATGCCATACCTAGGATTTGTTACATTATATATTCACTCTTGCGTCTATCTCCTTATGTCTTGTCGTGTATTAAAGTTTGCTGGATAAATAATCCTGGGAGCACATATATAAAACATGTAATGAGGTGATGATGTGGATCATGTTGCCGCTTATTAGATCCTTAATCTTTCATCCTCAAATATGAAGCTTAAATAGGTGGACTTTATCATTAATAATACTATGCAACATGGTTCTCAGCTATTGTAGATTGCTGTGGCTTATTGAAACATGTTGCTAAACTGCACAACCATCAACTTGATGACTTGAGAGAACCATTGAAAGATGCTTTCTGATTCCTAATACTATAGTTTTAGGGTATAAAACTAGTTTAAGACAACGGTACTTCGATGATGAAAGTAAGACTTATAAAACAAAAGTGAATCTGTTCAATTTGTTGAAAACAGTTCCTAGTGAATCCACTTAATTAGTGCAGGTTCCTCGAGAAGATTTGAAGGTGTTTAATTTCTGTTACAAATTTTCTATTTTTATTTTTTATTTTTAGAAAATTTAAGTGTATTGTTTTACTCTGAATTAATTTAATTTAGCGTTTTGTAATGATTATAGTATATATTTGATGATATTATCAATCTTCTTTATAGTTTCAGCTGGAGTTGATTTTCAGTTATATTTGCACATCTTATTGTGATGAACCTGCATGGATGATTTTTTCCTTTTTCGTTTCTGTGCCTTTTAAGAGTTTTACTTTATCTTATCTTTTTGTGGAATACTGAGTCTGACATCAGGTTGCTACTTGTTCTGAATGCAAACATCTTTTGTGTGCCTCTGACAATCATTTGACTTAACAAATTTGATTATGAATGTTTGGATTTCGTTATAACAGCAGCATTGCCCTAGTAGTAGTACCAGTTTACGTTGAATGTAATAATTTTGATATATTAATGAAAAAAATGTTGGAATTCAGATTTTTGGATTTGTTTCATAAGTGCACGCATTACAGTATGAAAATATATTTCTCATAAATTTCCTGTTCCAACATCTTTGTTCTTGGATTGCAGACCATCCATTCTTGTTAGTGATATCTTGTGGCAGTATGGAGAGCCTGAGCTCGTCACCACATCTCACCAATTATTGAGGAGGAAAGAGGCTCCACCAGGTATAGTTTTTCCTGCCCTTTAATTAAAAGAATTATTTATGCTAATGCCATTCCATCCTAAAAATGGAACTGAGCACTGTTGGGTACTTTTAACAATATCAACTATAGTCAATGATATTAGCAGTTTCTTTTTCCGTTGTATTTTGCCTTCTTTTGTGAATTACAGTGTATGACATATGATATCTTTGTATCTATCCAATATTATGTACCAAAAAAATATTTGAATTGCTAATTATGTTCGAGATGGATGATAGGAAATATGCCTTGTTGAGGTCCTGTACGAAGCAAAGGCTGTATAGCTGGTTGCTAACGTCTCTGAAAGATTATTGTTAAACTTGAGCTATAGCTGTCAAAGCATCATCAAGAAGCTTTCTATGTGTTGATGAAACACTGTTGGTTAAACTTGGGATGGAGGTTTTAACTCTTGAAAACATGGGAATGTTTGGATCTCCTGAAAATTTCCGTTTCAGTTGTCTCATACTAAAACATTAGGATACAAGAATCATTTCTGATACCCAACCAACTGAACAATCTTGGAGACACTTGGTATAAATGTGGTCAATTTGAAGTGGGAATGTTTCNTAACTTATTCTTCAAGACAACCCCAGTTGGGTATTTTCCCTTTTCTATTCCATCTTTGAAAATTTAAAATTCATCCGATCTCTTCCATCTTTACTATCTCAACAACACTACTCCTTAACTCAGTCACAATGGCAACCCAAGAAGTGGAGAAGAAATCACAAGACACGGTGAAGGTGAAGTCACCGGAAAAACCCACATCAAGCCCGGCAAGATAATAGGAAGAAGAGAATGCCAATTGATCACCTTCGATCTTCCATATATAGCTTTTTACTACAACCACAAGCTGCTTCTTTATAAGGGTAACGAAGAGTTCGACGCCATGGTTGAGAAACTCAAGGACGGGTTGAAGGTTGTTATGGAAGAGTTTCATCAGCTGGCTGGGAAACTTAGGAAAGATGAAGAGGGAGTTTTTAGAGTAGAGTATGACGATGAAATGGAGGGCGTTGAACTGAGTGAAGCGTGGCTGAAGATATCGGAGTGAAAATGTCAAGAAAATTCCAGTTTCTTGAGTTTTAAATTTGCTGTTTACACAAGGGACGACCGTCCCTTAAGTGTGGACTGCCGTCCATACATAATGGACAGGCGTCCATTAGTTACGGATGCCCGTCCAAACTTAAGGGACGCCCGTCCAAATTTTTTATTTTATTTTTTAAAACAAATTAAGTTTGGACGGGCGTCTCGTATTTGCAGACGCCCATCCAAAATTAAGGGACGGCCGTCCACAACCTATGAACGGCCGTCCATAATGTTTTGCAAATTTTTTTATTGTATTTTATTTATGGACGGCGTCCTTTAAATGGGGACGCTCGTCCCTTGTATATAAAGGACGTCCGTCCATATAATATGGACAGACATCCATGTGAGTGAACGGTCGTCCAAATTTGATGGACGGCCGTTCATTAGAAAAAAATTATAAAAAAATTCAGACGCGTGTTACACGTAGATCAATACAAAATTTCGGTACAACTTTTTTGGTGTACCTAATGTTATTGATAGTGCACATTGGACTTGAAATGAAAGACGCGGGACTCTTTCTCATCTAACCTGTGGGATAAGGGGACTACTTTCGCTTTCCCACATTGGACTTGAAATGGAAGACGCGGGAGCGGCGGAAAGTGGGGAGATCGTAGTGTGATAAATTTGTTACGAATGCGAGTAGGCTTCGATATACGTACTCTTTTTACCTTCCTATTCCTAGCAGGGGGCGAGTTCAGAAGCCCCTACTTGTTTATTTAAACATAATAGTGCTTCATTGTATCCTAAAAGCANAACTCAACTTGTGTCTTCAACCTTTGCCCACAGTATTGTCCATGCCTTCCAGACATTTGAACTAGTTTGGGAAGAGCTATGTGCTGACATACGGGAAAGTTGTCCTCTCAACTCGAGTCACTGTCCCTTCAATCCGAGCAGCAATGTCCACAATACTGAAGCCAAATCCTGAATTGGCTGATTTGATTCATAAAAGTTGCTAAGGATTGAGTAATTGGTATGGATTAAAACCAGCACTTTTTCCTAACACAAAGTACGTCTATGGGATATTAATTGGGTCAATGGAGCCGTATCTGAAAAAGACGTATTTGTACTTAACTATATCTTTTTCTAGGTGTTGGAGCCTTGGTAGAAAATCCCAAATGCTTTTATCAATCACTTCAATGGATTTTCAATCGCTGTTGTTAATCAAAATAAGATGGAAAGGCTATGGCCTGTAAGTCTGAGATATATTTGTAATGAGTTATTTTCACAACATGGTTGGCAAAATTATGTCAAAGATAATTGTGTGGAGTGTAGGGATTTTTTTAGTTTTTAACTATGATGGTGATCATAAATTTGATGTTATGATTTTCGGGAGATCTGTATGTGAGAAGATAGAATCTGGTGATTCCGTGGGCATGGACAAAGAGGTGAAGATGGAGGATGATGACATTGTTGGTGTTGATGTTTCCGATGATCAGAGCAACAGTGTATCTAATGAAGAAGATAGTGATGACAGTGAATATAATGCAGGAAAAGAGGAGGTGAAGGATACAGCATCAGAAGAAGAAGAAGCAGCAGCAATGAACTTGATGACAAGAGGCAAGAATAAATGTGGAAACAATGGTAAACATACTATAACGCTTTTGTGCTCTTCATTAAAAGGTAACCTCCATTAAGATGTAATCACACTTGTGTAAGATAAAAATAACCTACTGTTAATTTGTTTCAGGAGGATCTAAGAAAAGGGCTGCGAAAAAGGATGGAGTGCGTGAAGGAGCTAATGATGTCTTGGCTGGTGTGAATGTAACATTGCCAACAATCAGTCCTATAATGAGCAATGCCAACAATTAGTCCTATAATGAGCAATGCACTTTAACGTTTTATATGAAATTGGGGATCATATATAAATTGTGATACTAAAGATTTGGCAAATGTTACCCTTTTTTGATATCTGGCCTGATAAAGTTACTGGACACATATGACCTCTGATTTCAATGATGTTTTCATTCAGAATAATATTATGAACATGAACTCTACATACAAAATTATGAGTTTATATGTGTATCATTTTTCTGGTTTGATAGGAATTGGGTGTTCGAATTGAGCTCTACATACAAAATTATTTGTTTGATATATGGATTGGATTGTTCATGTCGTGATGATTTTACATTGTTGCATTGATTAGTGGCGGCATGGAAATATTTTGTGAAAACTCTTAGAACTTGCCAAATGCTTTGTTACTTGGAGGTGCTCTGGAGTTAGTTAATCAAACAAACCATGGCACCTCTCCCACTGCTGACTCCTCTACACCACCGTCGCCGCCGACTTTACTCTACCACCACCACCCGCCACTGTCAGTTGCTGTTCCTCTTCCACCCAAATTTGTAGCTTTACAACAACCGAATTTATAGTCTAGGGGCTTTGTGTCCGATCTATTATCAACTCTTCGCCTCGAGGAGTCGTTTGAGCAGCAGAATTTTAGCATTCTCATGTGAGCCGCGAAGCGACTGACTCCATCAACAAAAAGCTCTTTTCTGTTTTCTGGATAAAGTTTCTGGTTTTGAAGTTTATGCGTAATAATACACAAATTCTTTTGGATCTTCTCATACGGTTTCGTTTTGGTTATTTTGGGTTTAATTTGCAAATCCGACTACTGGGTGCCATAAGAAGCTCGAAATCGACGATGACCAAATGTACTTGTTTTATTTTGTTTAAGATGTCAATCTCTTACATGAAATTGCCAAGTTGTGTTACATTTGGGGATTCTTTTTGTGCTCTGATTTTTTTTTTTTCATTTGTTTTATTGTTGCTTAAAAATAGTATTATATGTCTTTTGTTAAGATAGGTTCTTTTTATTGGTAAAAAGTAAATAACATTAGAAACTCTTAGTGTTTTCCTTGATAAATTAGTTCTCACTTTGCACAAAGTGTGCCTATTGTTTATCACAGTTGATGCTTTAGGTTTGGTTCTGTTTTTGCGTTATTTTTAAGCTAGAATGATTCACCTATTCGACTAATTGAGTGTTGATGTCTGCAATGTGGAACTAATTTGAACTTATTTTCTTTGTTCATTTTTTTGCGCGGATTGTGGAAAGCAAGTCTACTTGGGTGAGTTTTCTTGTGTTGTTTAATCTTTTTTCAGTTGGGTTATATAGTAAAACTAAAAATTGGCTTTTTTATGCTGTTTCTGATACTAAAGTTTGAATTTTTGTAGAGTTTTGAACACAGCTCTTACTGTGGCAAGGCATATAACTTTGAAATGCTTGGTTTTTTTGGTATGATTATGATGCCATAGTGGTGAAATTTTTTCTTATGATTCAGGGCTTATGATTGAGTGGCAATCAAGTTTTTGGTGTTGATGCCAATATAAACTTTGATATTGACGATTACAGAGAAGAAATTGAAGCAGTATGTTGGAGACCTGAATTTACATTGTTATACAAGTGGTTTAGCAATCCTTGCCACCTTTATTCTCTTTCAAGCACCAACGTTGGCCCTTACAACACCCCCTGCATCCCTGCAACTCCCTCACAACCCCCACGGTACTGTCGCAAGGTTTTCATCTCCCCTGTATCCTCCGCCTCCTCTCTCCTGCATTAGATTCACTGTCATCACTATCTTTTTCATTAGATTCACTGTTGCTCTAATCTCAGAAAACCGCAACACCAACAATGTCATCCTCCTCCATCTTCACCTCTTTGTCGATGCCTATAGAATCACCATATTCTATCTTCTCACACTCAGATCTCCTGAAAATCATAACGTCAAATTTATGATCACCATCATAGTTAAGAACTAAAAAATCCTCACACTTCACACAATTATCTTTGACAAAATTTTCCCAACCATGTTGAAAAACAAAATACCTCATTATGAATTATATACCAGACTCACACCACAAATTTCCCATCTTATTCTAGATGACAACAACAATTGAAATCCATTAAGTGTTCAACAAAAGCACCTGGGGTCCTCCACAGATCTTCCCAGCAGGGATATCTCCAGTCAAGTTTAGTTTTTCTCCGATTGAACAAAGATGTCCATGTCTAAGCCTGTGAAGACAAAGCCGACATAGTTCTTCAAAGTCGCCTCCCAACGACCCTTGAAGCCAAGAAGCTAGTAATTTCATCTTCAATTTTGTGTTTGTAGCAATGGTTCAAAATAGCTGTCATTTTACAGTCTGCCACACCAATTATCATCTACATTCTTCTGTTCGAACCCGTAAAATAGTTGAGTAAGGTTATAGTTGGTGAGACTGAGACCACATGACAAAGCATAGGCATGGATGATCATGACCAAAAATAACACTTTATTGGTTGCTATCTTAGACGTTGTACGGATGTGATCTGATTTTCTTTTAGCTTGAAACCTAAATTTCAAACTCAAATTTCTCATGTTTGTGCCATACAGATTACCATTAAGCTGGTGTTACAAAATGTTTTAGTTGTTTGCTAGAGATGGATTGTGCTTTGATGAACTATATTAATTTTGGGTTAGTCACCCATGGGTTGTTAAACGTGAAAAGCTCTGCATGTTTCTTGTTTGTGTGATTGAAAGTACACCCGGATTAATGAAAATACTTTATGACCTGCAGAGAGTTTCCTATTAGAAATGGGAAACCTTACAGTTTATATACAGCAGCAGGCAGTTCATAACAAAAGGGGGTCTAAGTGCAGGAACTGCTACTACAAATGTCTACCACAATTCACAGTTTACGAGTGGATGAAGGCAATGCAGTCCCAGTGTTGCAGGCTTGCAGCCTGATGTAGTAATATTTGGTCCTATTACCAGCAATCCTTGTATTGCCATGTCCTATGTGCTAATCTTTTGCGAAGAACCTCAACTATGTCTCAACAATCAGAAACATAAACTTAAGAATATGGAAATTGTTATTCAACTGCAGGTTCCATTGTCGAGAAAATTTCCCACCGCCTGTTGGATGCAGCTGGTAGTCAGATTGGTTACTTGCTTAGCTACAATGACAACATTGAAGCCTTAAGAAAGCAAGCTAAGAAACTCGAGGCTACCAGAGGCACCTGTTGGAAGATTGATGCTGCTAAAAGAAAAAGAGAAATTATCTTGCCTGATGTCCAAAAGTGGATGGCACAAGTTAATAATGTCTGTGCAGAAGCTGAGAAATGTTTGGAAGATGAAGTCAAAGCAAACAAGAGGTGCTTCAATGGGTGGTGCATCGATCTCAGATCACCTTACCGGTTGAGCAAGGTGGCAAAGCTGAGAATAGTGGTGATCTCTCTGCTGCAACATGATGGAAAATTCCGAACTCTGTCTCAGCCTGATCCTCTTCCGCACATTATATCTCCGACTGTGGAATTTTCTGGAACTTTGGGATCCACAAATATTATGAATATTAAAACAGAATTATGGTGGTTGCATCCCAAACCCCAAATATTATGAATATTAAAACAGAAACTGGTGAAATTTTATGTTTGACGACGCTGTCAGTTAATTCTAAATCGGCAAGGGCAAGTCCCCTGTGGGAGAGAATTAAGGAGAAACGAATCCTTGTAATATTGGATGACATTTGGGGAAGAATTGAATTGGAGGAGCTTGGCATTCCCTTCAGAAAGGACCATGGAGGTTGTATGATTGTGCTTACCTCTCGAAGCAAAAATGTGTGCGATCAAATGGACTGTGACAAGACATTTATCGTTTGGAACTTTGTCAAAACAAGAGTCTAGGCCACTATTCAAGGAGCTTGTTGGAATGGATGTTGAAATTCTATTATAAACCCAACAGCATGAGATGTAGCCGCAAAATGTGGTGACCTGATGGGACACATTTGAACATCTCACGAGTATTTCATTGATGTCAAATAATATCTTAGCGGTATTTGATGGGATGGAATGCCCAAAGTTGCAGGCTTTGCTCCTACAACAAAATTCTAGATTGATTGTGCCCAACAATTTCTTTCAAGGCATAAAAGATCTTAGAGTTTTAGGCTTGACTGGAACTCAACTCCTGTCACTGCCCGATTTAGTTCTTTGCTTGCAAATCTTAGAACATTTGTATCTTAATGATTCCAAGTTCGGTGATTTATCTATGATCGGACATCTAAATAACCTAGAAATTCTTAGTATTCATGTTTCTTATTTTGTGAAGATCCCCAAATATTTTAATCGATTAATTCATCTTAAGCTATTAGATTTGAACAAATGTCGAGAGCTAACATGAATAGCATAGGGTGTCATATCCTCTCTTTGTAAGCTAGAGAAGTTGTATGTTTTAGAAAGTTGTACTTTTTGGGATTTTGAAGGAGATAGAGGGGGATTTGGTACTTGTCTAAACTAACTAGTTTGCAAATTTCCATCCCAATCCCAAACCTCTTGCCTGATAATGGCGTGCCATTAAAAAATTTATCAAGCTTTACAATAATAATAGGTACCTTCTAGGCATATTTGGAGACTATAAGAAAATACTCGAGAAAATTGGTGATCTCATGTTATAAGGTTATGATTTCACTATTGCTTGATTGTCTTAAGAATTTGGTAACTGAAAAAACTAAGAATTTATATATAATCGGTTTGGGAAACATATTTCTTGATCTTGTAAATAAAGGGTTTAATAAGTTGAAAGATCTACCTATGGATGATCAGACGGTAACATTTCTTCTAAATATATTGGAATGAACATCAAAACTTAGAGAAACTATAAATCTTTGACCATCCTAACTTGGTTGAAATATATCATGGTAAACCCCCAATCCAGTCCTTCAAAAAGCTAACACAAATGAGGAAGCATCGAGATTACATAGGATCGTGTTTCCTAGTTTGTCGAACTCTACTTAGACAACTAGAGAACATTTCTTATTTTAGCTCACCGTCATATACTATT